CACCAATTTTTATTTATTATTTTTCAAGACCTTCAATTTAGGTATTCCTCTTAGGTGCCTCCTTTTGCGTTCTGACAAATCACTCCCCCGTAACTTGGATCGACGAAACATGGGTATGGACAATCCTAGAAAATTTAAGCGTGAATCAGTCATGTCGCCTACCTAATCAATTTTTTTTATATAGCAAGAAATCTAGCTGCGATTGAGGAATGAGAGATCCGGATGTTGGGATTCCCCCGCTTTCAAGGTTACGGTTTCGTCTCTTCGTGGTGTGGTCAAATGTACCGTGAGTTTGAAGGGGGGAGAGACCTTGGTGTTCCTTTTTCATATTCGTTTGTGGTTGCATGGGTAGTGCACAACGTTGCGAATGTCTGAGGGGGTGTTGGTAGTATTGCAGCCGGCTGTAGAATTCTGTGGGGCAGTGGTCATGGGGTCGTTGGGTCGTCTTTTTGTCAAGGGATGATTCTAATTGTTGTGCCGGTTGTCTGAAGGCGAGATTTCCTCTTTGGAAATTTTCATTGCATTTTCTCTCCTCCGGGTTTTCTGATACGAGAAACTCGGCTCGCCATCGACGGATTGCGGACGCAAGGCGGAGTGACGTCGAGCCTGCACCGGACGCGAGGCGGATGGACGCGTCGAAGGAGGAGGACTTCCCGACGAGGTAATTCGGTGAAAGTCAAGCTCGAATCTTGAGCTCGAGGCGGGCAGAGATTGTGTAGCCCATCCGTGTCATTCCGGGACGGGGCTTGAGTGCTAATTCTAAGCTTTGTCGCTGAGACCAACCCTGGAGTTTATATCTTGAACAAAAATATTACTTCCCATATTTTACCATAGCGCGAGAAACCAAAAAAAAAAAACGGCTATCTTTTTTTTCACTTCAGGGCATCTCCCACCTTATTTTTTTTCCTTTTTTTTCTCATGGAGCACAATTTTGGCTGGTGTCCCTGGGAGAGATATCTTTCGGCGTCTATTATTTTGGGTCGGCCACGAGCGTTTCGTGATGCCTGCGATTTGCTCCACCGCTGCCAGGCTTCAGCAGCTTGCTCGTTTGCAACTTGGATTCGCAGAACAAAGGTCTGTCTAGTCCATGGACGATGGACTGAATGGATGGGAGTTGCTCCATGTTGACATAAAAAAATTTAAAAGTTGGAAAAAAAATCCAATTCAATTTAAAAATGCATGGTGAGATGCAAGAAGAGGCTCGACGGATCTATGCCGAGAGTTCGAGACATTGTGACTTTATGCTGGTGGTTCAATTTTTTTATTTATTTATCTGCTTGGTATATCGAAAAGGTATTATTCAGTTCCCCTTTGTGCTTTTGTAGGAGCCGAGCGATCCGGCAGAAAAGTGGTTTACAACTGAAGGGTCCTTCGCATCCAGGGCACGATTTATTTTCTGCAGGCGATCGAGGATGGAATTGAGATTCGAGATGGAATCCGGCGTGGCGAAGGACACCACCAAGGCTCGATGGACTCGTGGCGAGGAGGTTTTTTTTTTTCTTCAAAATTTGTTCTTTATTGGTTGCAGATGCGGTGAGTTTTTCGAGAAATTAACGGCATTCACCGGCCTTATTTATGTATTAATTTCTTTTCTTCAATCTGGTACTGTAGGTACTAGGAGTTGGGCGACCTCATGACTTTGGATTTCACCAGACCGAATTTCCTCCTTCCCCTGGTTTTATTTCACGAAATTCATCTTTCTGTGGAATCCACTTATTCTTGGTTCTCACCCAAAATTTTTCCTGCTTTTTGGAAAATCCTAGGTGTCCGCCATAGGTGATTCGTGATGCCTTCGGTCTGTTCCAGCGATACCAACCTGCAGCTGTTCACTCGTTTGCAACTTGGATTGGCACTAAGGTTTGCACGTTATCGGTAAACGTATGACTGAAGGCTTCATGTTTAGAATAATATTTTTTTATTTTGCTGCAGAGGATAGAGGTGAAGGAAAGGACTTGGGCATTGAGGGATCCCCCGAATGGAGAGTTTTAGGGCTCTGGCCCCGATTGCAGAGCGTGAGGTAAAGGAGGATCTTAGGGTGTGAGTTGGGGAGGCGAGGTCTTCCCGTTTCACGTCTTTTTCATCTTTTGTTTGTGGGGTGGGTTGCTGGGTGTGTCTGGTAGTGTTGGAGCCGGCTGTAGAGTCTTTTGTGGGGCGGTGGTCGGATGGTATCGCTGGTCTGGTTTGCGCGATGACTAACTCCTGCAGTCGGTTGTTTTAACGGGTTGAAAGTTTTTGGTGCATTTTCTTCCGATCTGGTACTGGACGAGGCTTGCTCTGTTGTCGCATCCACTATGGACTTCGGACGCGAGGCGGAGTGGCTTGGTATCTACACTGGACGCGAGACGGAGAGGGATGGCACCTGCACCTGGTGAGTCCTTCAGCGCTTGATTTCTTCCGGATTCAGCAATGAACTGATGGCTCTGGTTTGAGCAAAATATGCACAGCTTCGATCTTTTGAAAATTTAAAATTTAGTTTTCGCATTGTTGGTGTATCGATTTTTTCAGGAACTCTTGGGCATTTATCCCTCCCTTGTTAACGTTCCCTTCGATCCTTAGTGTGCGGCTCAAGTTTAAAGGTTTTCTTGACTTTCGTTTTTCTTTTGCATCCAATTTCTTTTCTTTGTCCCTACTCGTACTTCTCTATTGTTTCTCAGGAAGTCTGAGACCCTTCGGCGTCGGCTGTGAACGATTCGTGATGGCTCGTGGATTCGATGGATTCATGGTGACCTGTTGCGATTTCTACTTCTCAGCAGCTCGTTATGCTTCTCGAATAGGCAAAAGGAAGTTGTCAACCGGCAAGAACATTGCGTGTTTCTGAAGAATGATTGCGAATGTTAATGTTTAATTTGAACAGTGGAAATCTTTTTTCAGAAGATCGAGCCGAAATTGGGACAATCTGGAAGTTTGGCTTCGGCGACGCGGCTTCAGGGACGACGTGAGTTGAAGCCAGGTCTTCCCATTTCGGGTTTCACTTTCTCAAGAGCGCGATTCCGTGGGTGTTCAGCAGCAGTGCCAAAGGCGTCCTCGACGTTGGGAGGACGCGAGGCGGAACGGCACCTGCACCAGACGCGAGGTGGAATGGCACCGCATCTGCACATGCGAGTTCGACGTTTCAACTCGAAGGGCTTCCCGATAACGAGGTGCACTGATAGTTCGATAGTCTATACAGGGGTTTACGTTAAGTTGCGGCTGCACATGGATTAAGTCTTTTTTGGGGGGCTCGCGATCCTCTTTTCATAACGCGTCCCACTTTATTTCTTTTACTGGAGAGAAATTCCAGCGCTGACATTTACGCTTCTCTGTAGTGCTGCTTGGTACGTATAACTCGATTCCCCGGGCATCTATCACCTTAATCACGTTCTTTTTTTTCCCCCCTTAGATGTCGGCTGGCCGGCGTCTTCGTAGGAGCTGAACGAGCCTTTGCAGATGGAATTTCTTCCCAGGTCTTCAAGTTTTCCCTTTCCACCTGAAGTTGAAATTTCTGGACCATTTTTTATTTTATTTTCTCATGTCGTTCCTTAAGTTAAGGCATAGGCTCTCCCAGTAAAATTGAGTATTCGATCGTATTGCTGGAACATAAAATGGAATTTTTTTGTTGCAGTGTCTGTGGAATCCGGCGAAATGCGAGGGTTGGAATCTGGGTTTCATAGCCATTGGCTCTTCGGGGACAAAAATCAACGGACTGGTGGCGTGAGTTGGGTCTTCACGTTTCGTGTTCGTAGTGGTTGCATGGGTAGTGAGCAACGTTGCGAATTTCTGGAGGTGGTGTCGGTAGTGTCGAAGCCGGCTGTGGGGTTGTGTGGGGCGGTGTTGAGGGCGAGTTGGGTCGTTTTTTTCGTGGGCCATAGGGCAAAGCAGGCTTGAGTGTTGTACCTTGACGTTTTTCTAATGCGTTTTTTTTCTGTTGGACGATGTTCTGGTACGAGACGAGGTTCACTAGCCTCCTTCGTGGAGTCCGGACGCGAGGCGGAGTGGCGTTTACCCTGCACCGGACGGGAGGCGGAGCGGTGTGACACCTGCACGTCCTTCGTCTCGACTTGGAGGAAAATTCGTCGAACTTTCCGATTTGGAAACGCGCTGATGGATTTGGTTAGTGAGGGCCCAACTCGAATTTCGATCTATCGAGGCAATACAGATGAATTTTCCCTCTTTCCGGAAAGGGATTTCCAACGAGTCCGAACTGATGCAGCGATCGAGCACATACGATGTGGACCCAGTTCTGGTGCGATCCTGTTTTTCGTTGCCTCATCCTTCATTTGAATTAGACGCAAGAACCAGTACTTCATTGGGAATTTGAATCCCTGTATGCTTTTGCGTCTAAATGACGAATCGACTTTTATCTGCATTGGTTTGAAGTATAATTCCACAAGTCATTCTGAATTTATGAAGTATATTGAACTCTGTGCTTCGAAATTTGAGCTTTTTCCTGAACGTTCCACTTGGAATTACTTAGCCCGATTTTATCCAAGTTGATTTTTGTTCGTCATTAAATCGTTTCCAAGCTGATTTTTTTTTCGACGTTTTTTTGTATTTATTTTTCCTGCCATGCAGCTAAAAAAGTTGGAATTGCAATTGCAATTAAAGAAATTGGAAATTCCCGCCTTTTTCTTGTCTCGACCCGCCGAGGGAAGGCATTGTAAAATTGGAAGAAAAAAAAAATTTCCTCGAACTTAGATTTCCTTTTGCTACTCGAGAATCTTCTGTCGCGAACCCGAAAGTTCTTTGTCCCCTCGCACACTCGTCCTTCGCAGTCGTGATGAGCGGTTGCGAAGGAAGAAGAAAAAGAAGAACGCCGACTCGCCCCTCTGATCCGAAAACTCGACTCGTGCAAACGAAATGCAACAACTCGAAAGTTCTGAAGCGAGCCGTCCCAAAGCGGGCTGGGGAATGACCCACTTCCAGTGGATGACGGGGTGGAGGGCGATGTGGAGGGCGATGTGGAGGACGCGATGGATGATGCACGGCCGTGCAATATTCAGCCGATTGATCGGGGAGGTTTCTGGGAAGGGGCACGGTTCGGCGAGTCGCAGGATGTAGGTCAGGGTTATGCGTAAGTTTTACGATTTTTTTTTTTTTTTTTTTACTCGTTCGTGTCTAATAGAATCCACCTTCCGTCGAAAACCCTGAAAAGACGTCAATGATGCATTCTATCATTTTCTAACTTGAAATCAGAATTTCACCTTTTGCACCCTGATGAACTGGAATAGGGCACCTATTATGAGCACACTCTAAACCAAAATCTGTGTTTACTGGCACAATTTCTGGAGCCAACATGAGATTCCACATCAAGTAGGGAAAGAACAATTCAGGTAGGCAAATTCTGTCCGAAATGTGTTACTTAACCTAGTTTGAACGCCAGTTAGACATTAAGCGAGGGGGTGGGGTGTGTGGAAATCGGACCATTATAACTCCACTCAAAACGAGTTTGACACTGTTTCAACCGCCATTTCGAACTATTTTGCAATTTAACTCGCGTTTTACTGAGGACTGAAACTTGCCTTTCGCTAGCCTTCAACCCTGAGAGCCCGCCGTTGCAGGCAGGACACGAATTGATGGCGTCGAGACTTCCGCGAGGAGAATGTGATGGATGAGTCGGGCGCGTCCACGAAGTGTTTCTTCCCGGTGCGGCCTGTCATCTAGGAGAAAAATATGTTGTCCGAGGTTCTCGTTTAAAACCTAGATGGCGAGAGTCATCAATTCGAAGTCAGTGCCTCCAGTTCAGCTTCAGCTACTCGACGTGCCTGTTTAGAGGTGTGACAGTGGATCTCTCCCGCTAGATGCTCCTTGCACTCAGAGCTTTTTTTCTTTAAAAAAGAAAAAAAATAAAAAAAAATTAAGGCCTAGGGGGTTCGAAACTGTTCTGACACTCATCGAGAAAATTGATTTTTTTTCTTGCACATCTGTTTTCAATTTGAACTTCCGCCAATTTTATCGCGCCACATCGTTGTCTGTCTGTCTTGTTGGCGATTCACAGGAACAATTTCAGGAGGGAAGAGGTCTTTCATTCCTGGTTAAGGCCTAAGTAGTTTCCCATGCTTGTCCACTTACATTTAAGGGTTCCCACAAAACGCTGGGCGTGAGGATGGGAATTTTTGGATGAGCTCGATTGAAAACGTGAATTTAGGGGACCTGGAAGATCTCGCGTCGACCGTATGTCATACAAATTTCATATTACATTTGAATTAGCATAAGAATCAGTTTTAACAGCTTGGTCTGGTTAACGCCGGAGGGTCTAAACCGGTTAATCGCTCCTGCACATCTGAGCAGCCTAATTCCAACTTCAAGCGATTTTGAGTTGAATTTCCAGGGATTCAGATTCATTTCCGCTTCCCCCGAAAATGCAGAATCTGGGTGGAATACTTCGCATTCCATTCTCTCACTTTCTACCTCTTGGTCGTTCAACGCATCGCGCGAGGAAGTGAATGAAAATTATTTTTTTTTGGGAAGTCCAGGATTCGTCTGCGTTCCTTGCGAACTTGAACTCGGCCATAGGCCTTGGACTTGCTCCTCAGTTTTGCATTAGGAGCCCTTGGGGCTTTTGGACGCTACATTCGATATGTAGAGTGGGGATGATAAGCATTTAAGCCATTATGAAGGATTTGATAACGTCATTCGCAGTGTCATTACGGCAGTCGACAGCTGGTACCTGCGTTGAATCGAATATGCCCAGCTCTCGGCGGCCGAGAAGGCGCCGAGGCTTCCTGGTTCACCCCGCGTAGGAATCGAATATGCCCAGTTCTCGGCGGACGCGTCCCTTCTTAGCCTAGCGTCTCTTGCATTGAGCAGTGGAGTTGGATCGAGTAAGGAAGCGTGCGCTGGGAAGTCGACGAAGGCAGAGCACGATATTCCTGGTAAGCCAGACTTATGGAAGGGTTTTGAACTTGGAAGGGATCAAAAGATAGCACCTTTTCTTAATGAAGGAGTAGTCATTGCTTTGGTTTGCCATTCGGCTCGAGGAACTTCAACTTCTTCTTCGAAAAATATTTTAAATTTGAGTGAGGGGATTTGCTGGAGGCTTCTTTTTCAGTTAAATAAATGGAAAATTTTCCGTTAGATTAGTGAACTTCCGAAGATGTGAGATCCAAAATAGGAAAATTCTCAACCAATCGAAATTCTTCGATGTTTCCAACCGGATTTCGACGGACGTAGATGGAATTAATTGGGTTCAGTAACTTCCAATCGAACATGAAAAAATGAAAGAACGCAGCCTTCCAGAATTCCATGCTACGAGCGACTGGAATTCCGACCGGAATTCACGTCCGATAAAAACGCAAACCAAGCATGAATCCTCTTAGTTTAGTTGTTTACAGACAACAACCCCAGACTTCATAGTCCACCAAGAAACGAAAGCCTCATTCCATGCAAGTCAACCGGAGTGAGACCAGCCGCTCGCAAAACCTCCATCTCGAACTGCCACGAAATCGGCACCCCGCACGCAAGCGACCACCCATCCGTCTCCGAAAGAAAGGCGGAGCGGACGCTGACCGGGATGGACGAAGCTCGCTTCTCTATCGGCAGCACGCTTCTCTATCGGCAGCCCGATTTTCAATCGGCAGCCTCCATCCACCTGGCCCGCAGCGCCACGGCTTTCCTCGTCCCAAATGGACGGGAGCATCCATCCCCGTTAGGGCTCGATTCATTCCGCCTTCATTCCCGTTATTGATGAATTCACTCAATCCCTAATTGGCTCAATTGTGTCACGAAGCCCTGTTAACTCCGTGGTTATTGACTCCCCTTCCGAACTTCTTCAGACCTGGTTGGCACGCACGCGTGCCAAATCCTTTCGGTTTTATTTATTCCTGGGTCTGAAGAGGATAATAATTGGTTTCTGTGAAAATCGGATTTCCCTCCGACGGCCCTGAATTCCTCCGCTTGAATTTGATTGAGTCCTTAATTATTGGATCTTCTAGGAATTCCATCGATCTCAACCCAATCGTGGAAATTCATTCTTATATGTTCCGATTATAAGTTATTGGACCCGATTAATTCCAGCTATCAAAATCCCACTGGATACATGGATGACCTCCAATCGAATACAATTTTTTTTATTTTTTTGCCAAGATTCTTACTCGATTCTCGTGTGCAATTCTCGCAATGCGCCATTTTCCCAATGAACGCCCGTCGCGTGAGAAACGACAGTAGCTAGATGAAATGGCACCGGAAATTGGAAAAGAAAAACGAATGAGTTTAAAATCCATTTATGATAAACGCCAAAACGTCATGCAACTGCATGACGTTTTCGCGTTTCTCATTCATTTCACGGCGAGTTTTGACGGAAGGGAAAGTTATAATAATAAAAAAAACAGCCCTCGAGGTGTGAAAGTAATCACGTAAGAAAATGTTTGTCGTCCTAAATTGAACCTTAAAGTAGAATAATCCGGAAGAGAGCGGCCCCATCTGTCGGCAAAGTTGCAAAAGTTGATTAACATGGATAAAATTAATCATTGGGTTCCACGTTGAAGGTGTTTCAAAAAGGTTTGCGAATCAATTTTATATCTAAAAAAAAAATTAGAAGCACCACGAACATGTAGTTATATTATTTTGAGAACCCCGCCTTTACTGACTGATTATATTTATTGCATACGAACAATTACATCTCAGTATTTTTTGTCACGTTACAGGTGCAGTGACGTTTCCTTGTTGACGGAGAAGTTGAAAAAAAAAAGTTGAGTTCAGTGCTAAATTGGGCGAGTCAGGGTTGCAAGAAAAAAAAGATTCCGGATGCTCCATTGCCTTCGATTCGAACGATTCCAAAATAGCAGGGATGCAATCAACCGGTTCGTGATGACGGGTTCATGGAAGCGATCAACCGGATAATGACCACATTCGTGCCGTCTGGACGTTGCGATTTCTGCAATTTTAAGCAAATCTTGACAAATCCAACTCTTTCGGCCGACATTTTGCAATGCGTTCAAACTTCATTGCGTCGACGGGGGAATGCCTCTGCTCCGAAAACGAAACAAAAATAGACATTATTGGACGTTTGCAAAAATGACGCTGCAAAATTACATGTTTATTTCTGCGGGAAAAAAATTGCAAAACGTTGTGTGTCCTATGTTTGCAATCGAACGAGGCTCTCGTTCGATTCGGACGACTCGATGAGATATACGATACCCGAAGCCCGCAGACATGCAAATCTCAACGAAGCGAAACAAATAGCGCACGCTCCATTCTGCTCCGAGGCGAAACATCTCGAGTCGTTGAACCGGGTTGGTCAACGTCCGCTCGATTCAGGGCTGCGAAAAGAAATTTCCGCTTTCTGTTCGCACTTCACTTGCGACAAGGGGGAAAGCTGGAGAGGGAAAAAAGTTCTTTTATCTTGCGGTGAGGGAACAAAAGCAGGTTTTTGGTTTGGATCCCGTAACCTCTGCCCCCACCACCGTTAGACCGACTCAGGGTTGCCCTCGTGAACTGATTCTTCGTCGTGACTTTCCGCAGCATCACGATTCTGTGGATCTCTCGGCCCGTCTTTTCAGTCGAGAGCAAACGTGACGATGGTTCCTTAAGTAAAATGTAAAAACCTTTGGTTTCGATGATCTTTAAAACCGTGAATTGGAGTGGAATTTTATGGTCGAATCCGACAGCACTGAAGTAGTGAACCTATTGGGGAACTGCTGTGATTGGCCGAGGCAGGAAGAGGGGCGGGGCTTAGGAATAAGGTGAAAAGTGCGTCCGAGAAGTTTCTCAGTCGCGTGGGTGCATCCTCGCCATGTGCGTCATCCCGGTGCTGTCGCTCTTCGCGTGCGTTCGCGTCGCGTCGGGCTTAGGTGAGTTCCTGCAGCCGCCGCCGTCGTGGCCGTCTCTGCCGCCGGTCCCGCCGACGGTGATTCGCCTGTTCAACCCGGGGACCCCCGTGAACGTGAGGAGGAAGGATCGGCCCACGTTTGGGTACTTGAACCCCTTCGATCGTTGGGGGTTCCCCGTCCTCCTTCGCACGAACCGACTTCATGATTCCCCAAATCCTTTCCAGGTACTGTGAGCGGCGGCTCTAAAGCAAGGAGGGAATGAGCAATAAATAAACTTTAAAAAGTAATAAATGTAAAAAAAATTAATGTAAAAAAATATAAAAAATAAAAATGTAAAAAATAATGCAAAAAATTAATGTAAAAATACTAGTAATTTAAAATTTAAAACATTAACTAAAACATATATTTAAATATAACATTTTCTCATGCTCAAGTTTTTATGCAGTGATCCAGAAATAGGGTTTATTTGGAAAACTTGGCAATGATTGAAAGTAGTTTTCCCTCCGCCCTGAATCGGTCGACGAGGACTAATCTAATCCCCGCCATATTACGTAGCAACTCCGGACGAGTTGCAGGACTTCGCGCGAGGGCACGCGTCGCACAGCCTGCCGATCGGCGATCGGTCATCTGGAACAAAATCGTCGGTGATCGGCCACTCGCGTTGCCATCGCGAGATTTCTATCGAGTGACTGTTATTAATTCCGCTCGGCGGGAAGTAGCGACGCATTCGACTTGTCTCGATCAGTTTCGCTCATTCATGTGCAGATGAAAAAGGAAAATAAATGATTCAAGAAGTTTATCGTTTCCTCTATATCTCTGCAGCCATTATAGCTGAAAGCAACCAAGGAAACGGATTGTTGCTTGATTTGGGCTGGACTGTTTCTCTATTTCTACTGAGTATATGGAAAGGTGCATTTTCGTGAAAATTTCCTGAGATATTACACTCATTTGGGGTTCATTCCTTGCTTTATTTTATTATTATTTTTTAATACAAAAAGATTAGTTTTTAACTTCATGGAATTTCAAAGGCGATGACGATGTCATTTCATGGTTGCCCTCCAGCAACCTGATACCATAAACCTGGCGCGAGGTCAAAGTTGCCTCATTTAGCTTTAGGGTGGATAAATCCAAGGATGTGTAAGCATAAGGATGAACAAATCAGGCTTGACATTTTAAAATTTATTCGCCGTTGAATTTTAAATTTTATTCGCAAGAAGATTTTTCGCTGAGAATTTTATTCGCTGAGAACTTGAAAATGGAAACTGGACCGTAATTCACCGTTTAACTACTCGACCGATCCCGAACGAACCAAGCATAAGCCGAAAGTGAAAACGCGCCGGACACCACAAAAAAAATTCACCCGTAAAGCTTGAGAAATGCCCACAGGCGGAGATCCACCCGTACTCCCTGAGCAAGCGGACGCACCGGCCGAACCCCCTGCTGAACTTCAACGGGTTCCCGCCCCCCGGCGACAAGTCCTCGCAGCCGCCCCGAGTCAAGTCTTCGCCCGCCGCCGACAAGTCTTCCGCCTCCCCGTTCCGTCTCCAGGCCTCCGTCTCCTCATGTCCCCGACTCTACGAGACGGTGGAGCTCCGCTGCGCCGTCGACCCGAAACAGGCCTGGGACCCCAAAATGGTACGAGATTTTTTTTTCAATCCCGCAGAAATGAAGCAGCGAAATTAAGACGAATCAGCGAAATTAAGATGGGGAAGCGGAATTAAGAAGAAGCAGCGAAATTAAGACGAAGCGGTTCCGTGTTATTACCAAGGCCGTAAAACCGACCGAAGCCGAACCGAAACAGACTCTTCTCCCCTGTCCGCAGTCAATTACGTCTGAATGGAACGAGGCAAAAGGCGTTTCCTGCCCTTCATGAAGCGAGTGAACTCAAAAAGCGGAACTCCCTTCTTCGCGAGAGACTCGAGTGTTTTCCGTGCGAGGTCGCGGAAGCGAAAATCCTCCTCGCGGAACGCTTATTTTTTTCTGCTTCCCTTCACCGGGCCGGGCGTCCCAAATGACCAGACCTTAACCGGGACACGTCGCTCTTCATAACCATCAGCAACTTTTTTTTTTTTTTTGGGGGGGGGGGGGGGGGGGGGGGGGGGGGGGGGGGGGGGTGGGAGGGGATGGGACAGGATGGGACAAAAGGTATGGCGTGACTAGAAATTTAGAAGGACGAACACGTCTCATCAATCCTTCACGGTGTCTACGTCGGGGATCCGGAAGTCAAGTAATTAATGGGGAGTATAATTAAGGACTCCTCATCACCCACGCGAGAACTACGCGGGGAGCAACATTAGGACTTCTTGGGCCGACATGAAAATGATGGGGGTGAAGCAGGGTTTCTGTAGAAGGTGTCGCCTCGGTTCCTCCCGTTTCGGGGCATTAGGTGATCGTTAGGGAACTCATTATCATATAATTGTCTTATGATTATCTAATTATAATGTAATGTTGACCGGGGCGAGGGGTAAGTTTCCGCGTCGGGAACCGATTTGGCTTCCGTGCGATCGGCGTTTTCGGTTTTCGAGCGGTGGTGGCAACGTCGCGGCGTGATTGGTTCGACTGGTAGCTTTTCACGCGCTCGCGGACGAGGTCGCGGCGTTCGCGTTCCGTTCGGTTCGCGGGAGCGGCGGTAGCGAATCGCCGGACGTCATCGCTCGGTGAAAGCGTCGGTACTTTGCGAACCCGATTAGTACCGATTTGCACGAGAAGGGGCCCGATCGTGATGGATACGTGACCGCGTTTTTCTCGCGTCACGCGATCCGTCGGTGCCGCCGCCTGGTGGCGAGTATTACCGTCCTCTCTCGAGTCGTCAATCGGCAGTTAACCGGTTCCGTTCTCTCGAGAGCTTTCCTCTAGAGATCGAGGTTTCGTACCCGATGGGCCGATGGCTCGACGGACCCACTCGATAGGGCCGCGAACCCAAATCGCTAGAAAGGCCGGGTTCGGAGGATTCGCACGAGATCATTTCGTTTCCCAGCGGCGATTTGTGCTGTTACGTTCATTGTACGAGGGACAGAGAAGAGGACAGGGATTATCCCTTGGAGATTATCCAGGGCCATTTGCGTTCAGAGATTTCTTGTTCGTGGATATGAACCAAGCGGGGGCTAAGGGGCAGAGGGTGCTTATTTGCGGACGGATTGGAGTTTTCTGCCATCCTAAATTAATTATAAATTATAAATAAATAAAAAATTACGCCTGAAATTCATATAATTTGTTTCCATCCTCGGAACAAGGTGTCTCGCAAATTTTTCCATTCGCTGCTGCTCTTTAAATTGGCAACGGGAATGAGTTCCTGGGCATGTCCTTCGTGTCTATCTTGCCAAAAGTTGAAGATCCCGCGCTCTAATTTCAGTTCTTTCCTGGCGGCGGTCAACCGGTTGAGTAAAAAAAAAAAAACGAAAAAATGTCATCTTTTGAGAAAAAAAAAACCGAGACGCCGATTCACACGAAGTAGATCACTGATGAAGACATGTCTCGGTCTGAAAAGGATAAAAAAAAATTTATTTTCAAGAAAGCCATATCTCCCGGTGTCGCTAAATAAATCACAATTTTGCTCGTACAGGGTGTTCCGCGAAAGTCTATTATTTTGCAATAACTCGAAAATGGTAATATAAAAAACCTTGAAAATCTTATCTAAAATAAGAGGGTATTGGCAAATTGGGTTACAATAACTGAAATTTACACGGGGATTTTTTCATGTTCGGATTTCGACATTCTTCAAATATCCCCCCCCCCCCCTTTTAAGACGATCATGGAACATTGTGCATCGGAAGCATTGTCCTTGACACATTCACTGCCAGGGATTTAAATGAGTGAAAGTTCTCAACATACTTTCGGTAATGTTTAAGGGTGTGGTATCTTGTGTGCAATCCTTGTAATTTAGGAGATATTCGAATGACACCTCCTGAAGAAATGAGTAACCATTAGGAAGACGGCGAGAAAACGGCTAATAGCCGTGTAAGGCAGCGAATGCGTTAAAGTAGCCCCGAAAGAAAGACACGAGAGGCTGTCGAATCCGGCGAGCGTGCAGGGCATGGAACAGCGACGAAGCGTGGAAACCCCGACGTCTTCTTGCGAGAAAACCGTGTGAATGCGAGCTGTAGGGTGAGTGCGGCGAATTTCGGGACTGGGGGTAATCTCGGCACTTTGCAATCCTCGAAATTCTGCTTCAACTGCTAGTCCCCTGGGCACGGGGGAGTTTCGGTTAGCACGGTTAGTATTTCTCAGATGGTAGAATGCTGTTAACATGTGCTTGGAACAGCCATAGCGCACTCGAAGCCATAAGCGCACTCCGAAAAGCTTTTGCACGTTCCGTTCTTCTCTTCCATACTAGGTATTGTTTTATCATTGCATTCATTTTTGAGTCCGTCGTAACCGACAGTGATATACAACCGTGACGAGATTCCCGACATCTGACCCAACTTCACCTTTGACCTTTCGCTTCGGAAATGAAATGCCTGGGGCACTCGAGGTTTGCGGTACGAGGTTTGTAATGAAGGTATCACCAGACCCAATATGAACGAGAAAGCTCCATTACGAAAATCAGTATGCAAGGTGGAAGCTGAAGAATTTGCTCAGCGACATTCGCAGCATTCCCTACGACTGGTTCCGCCGTTTTTTCACCTCATTTCACGCTTCGGTGCTGTCTCGTTTGCACGCTTGCCGGATTTGACAGACCCTAATTTTTTTTTTCTTTGGGCCACCTTAAGAACAATGTGAATCGCACAAAATCTAGGTGTGCTGAGGAACTGAATTGAAGTCATTGCTTCTATTCTTTTCTATTCAAGAATTTTCTTTGTTACCTATTCTTGAGTTATTTAAAAAATAATAGTCAGACTTTCGTGGAACACCCTAACCGAGACGCAGGGTACTTTTTTGTTATTTCTTTTTTTTTGTTGGATTCAACATTCCCTGCTTCTTAGTTGCGGAAGGAAAAAGCGAACTAGACGATGAACCATGCAGATGTAAATCGGCGTGGATCATCTCGAACGAATACGGCAGCAAAGGCAACCGCCTTCGTGACGGAGCGATAACAGCGCATGGAAACAACCTTATCAGTACTGCGGATTTTCAGTACTGTGGATATTCGTTTCCTTCCCCCTTGTCCGCAATTATCACGGAAGACCTCGTCGGAGATTGTTTCGTAAATTGTGTGTAACGCTCCGAGAAAGTTAAAATAGCGGATCGGCCAGCACCATACACTTACCTTCAGAAGGAATTACTTTTTTTTCAACTAGGTGCTCTAAATGTGGCTGAAAACAGTCGACTCGATTTTGTGCCAAAACCGTGACGTTTTGGCACAAAATGAGTCTACGTTCTTCTTAGTTTCTTAAGGAAGTAAAATTACGTTACGATAACGTAAGATTCTCGCAACGTAGCGCTGGAGATCTTTCGATGGATCCCCCAGATGACATAAATCTATTGAATCCTCTGAAAATCCATGGAATTAGGACTTCGCCTGGACGAAGAAATCGTACGGAGGCGGAGTGGAGATGGAGGAGGAGCTGATGTCGTCGGGCAGAGCGTCGTGGCGGGGGCCGCGGTTCAGGGCGCGGGCGAGCGAGGACGGGCAGTACGTGCTGGAGATCCAGGACTTCAGGGCGGAGGACTGTGGGCTGTACGAGTGCCAGGCGAGGAGGGGGTGGGAGAGGGAGACGGCGCAGCTCACGCTCTTCATGTGTCATTGAGGTGGGGGGTGACGGGGGAGGTCGAGTGTGGTTCGTGACCGTTTGGTTTTCGTGAAGGAAATGTGTAGAATACGTACGTCTTTGTTAGTCGTGGGTGTGTCGTTTGCTTTGCGTGTTGCGGGGTACGACTTTGCCGGGTCGATCGACTCCCGAAGCCCAGACGAAACGGTGAGAGTGGCAGACACGACCGGCGGCACCCATGAGTATAAGATTTATTTGTTTCTCCAGTGATGCCCGATGTGGCATCCGACATGGTGTCGATGTTGAAAACGTCACCTATATCGAGCGAAAATTGGAAAAAAAAATGGAACCGATATCGGTTGGTAGGTAGACCCAACCTCGTCCCTGATTGGAATGAATTCTACGCACGCAATCTCTAAATATTTGCCAACGACGGGAAGAGACACCGTACCAAAGTCGGCCACCATCACGTGCCGGTGGCCGATTTCCAGATCATATAAAGAGCTTTTGGTTTCCCAATCCCTGCCGGCACACCACCACCAAAATCGCAATTACCTCGGTCTCGATGCACAACGGCAAAAAATCTTCATCCTCAAATGAGCATCGAGGCCGTAGGTAGTTTCTTGGAGCTTGGATACGTTAACGAAAGATCAGCTGTACTGGAAAAGGGATCACATCAATACAAGTCATCAATCCTAATCAATACTAATTCTGTTTTCATGGTTTCAGTATGCGGATTCGTAGCCAGGCTAAAATTTGGTGGTCTGTTGGGTGGGATCGGATGGAACCTGTATTTGCACATGATGCAAATGTGCATCTTCTCAGCTGATGCCCTCAAAAAAAAAAAGACTCGGATGAGAAGTCATGCGGCAGAAAGGTAAGAACAGAAAGCCTCAAGGGATACGGAAGGATATGCGTGCTGGATTCCATTTGACGCTGTGCAATAGAAAGAGTAACACTCGCTTCAACTCCAGACGCAACACAACACAGAAAATTAACTTCATTTGATGCTTACCAGCCGGAAAAGTCTGTTTTCGGATGCAGGAAAATGACTTTTTTTTGTACTTGCAAGGCAAGTACAAAAAAAGAAGAAATTTCTCCACTTAGAAATTCAACAACTGTACTTCTTATCCTGTACTGTGTTTCATGCTTGAGTAATGCCATTACAAGACTTCATAGCCACAACAGCACTCTCTGCAATGGATAAAAATATATTCATGGTCCATTAAGGGAACCATGAATCACCGAAGAGGAAAAAGGAGCTCATGGCAGAATAATAGTCATACATTTTTATTCCTCGAGAGACCAATAAAATACCTGGAGTGCCCACCACTGGGACGAATGAATGAAGCATGGAGGCACTTCTCATAAATATTCTCGATTATCCATCAATATTTCCTCTGCCTAGGCAAATCACGGCAAATCACCCGATACGATCGGCCGAGCGGGGCGACACGACGCGTGCCTCCCGGTCCGACATCTCTGTACACTTGGCTCTTTACAACTTTGGGAGCCTAAAGGACTCAAACGAAGGAGTAGTTGTGAACAGAAACCTGGTCAGTAACAGATGTGAGAAGATGCATGCAAAAGCTCGACATACAGGCTGGTTATTTGGATGGGGAAGACAGACTAGGATGGTTCGTGTCTGGATGCGTCATGTTGGGTGGAAGATATAAAAATACTTTGAAAAGCAAGAAAGAGGAATGAGAACGATGAAGCCTGTGTCTTTGTGCTCGGAAGCTCGAGAACGAAGTGAAACCTTCTGGTGTTTTGCTTCCTTTTGTAATGTTTCCTTACTTACTCGTCCCTCCCCTTACTTACTGCTACCTCTGAGTCCTGCCGCCTCTACGTTTCTCTCATGCGTGAAGCAGGTTCTGCATGCTCTCGAATTGCTGGTCGCTGCCTTTTCCATCACATGTCAACCTATCACCAGGCTGAAACAGAAAAACCGAGCATTGGTAGAAAACACTTGAGATCGATGAGATTTATCATAAGTGGCTGAAGGGGGTTTTAAGAAGACACTACAGGATAAGCAGGGTGGTTAAATCAAAAATAAATTTTCTCTCATTCTGGTGCAATAGGATTTTCTGTATTTCCCACCTCCCATTGGATGTTATCAGTAACTCTGTTAGCTTCATGTGTCAAAAACTTGCAAAATGAAATGACAAAGAGAATGCAATATCACATCCATCCCAACAAGGACTCTTATCATGAACAATGCAGATGTTGCTCTCAAATTGAGAGTAATGCCAATTTCACAAGCACCTATCCCATTTAGCATAAAAGTACACATTCACACAGTACAATACCATTTGAGGACTGGAGAATTTCATGGGTTGACTAGAAGTAGAGCAAAGCGCATTCCCGTTACTTACCAGAGCCTTGACGAGGAGAGCAACATGATGGCCCTGGATGGACCGAGCATATAGAGAGGCAGTGTGATCCACCCGTTCCACCAGGCCGGTGTGCAGGTGCGAGCATAGCTTGGACAGAACCAAGGGGAACTCCTCCGATACCTCGGTCACCGTCACCGTCCCTTTGGCTGTCAATTCCCCGCCGGAGAGGAGCCTGGCGAATCCCACCTCCCCCTCACCAGGTGGGAGCCCGGTCAGAAGGAAGGCCGTCACAGGGAACCTCAGGCTAAAGTCTAGTTTCTTGTGTGTTGCTCCATCTGGCATCTGAAAATAGGAAAATGCAATGTAGAGAAAAATCCCAATGCATACCTGACATAAAAATTTACTTTTGAAAATCAGCTTATTTGCAGGGCAAAATCTTAAGAATTCATATGGAGAGCTAGAGCTTTATGGGTTTTGGATACATTCAAATTTTCCATTTGAAAGTATAGCAGTATAGTGGAACCTTTAAACCAAAGTCCAGATAAGGTATCTACTTTTTGGTTCAATGTTCAAAAGCATTGATGAACCCTCAATGAAAAAAAGTTTGTTACTTAATCAAAACATAGTTGCAGTCATCAACTCAAGGTAATGAATACTATGATGAAAATGAGGCATGGACTCAAGCAGGAAGTGAAACAAGAACGGTATCATCTAAAAGCGGATTAATTCTATATTTCTCTCAAGACAAAAGTAGATTAAACTAAATTTACTTGGCAGTTACAATAGTATTGCTGATGTCACGGGCCTGTGCAGCTTGGTGGCAAAATTAACTGTAATTGAGTAAATATGCCTTACAATCATGAAAGAAATTGACACTATTGTCACTTGAGTGAAGCATCAAAGTCACTATATTATTTGATTTCCATCTAACATGTGACTAGCTTGGTGGCAAAATTAACTGTAATTGAGTAAATATGCCTTACAATCATGAAAGAAATTGACACTATTGTCACTTGAGTGAAGCATCAAAGTCACTATATTATTTGATTTCCATCTAACATGTGACCAGAACATGACCTAGACTCGATCTTTATAAATTTGATACAACTAGAATGACTGAATAAATATACAGTATGATTGGAATAACGGTACAATGATAAAAAAGTTGAACTACAGTTGGTTAACTAAGTTGTAACATAACAAAATGTAAAATTGCTGCAGTTGACTAGAATTTACTTTATCAAAATGACCATATTCTTTTTGGACTGAAAATTCTGTTGAATGCTCCATATTTCCCATAGCATCAATTCAATCACTCACTTTGAACTGAGGGGATTAATTCAATCTGGTGACCACCAGTCATGATTAGTATGGACATAGCTGCACTATTCTTAACCACTACTAAAAAATTATAAAACTCAATGGAAACTATCAAAATATAGGGTGTCAATAAAGTGACCATCAATAGACAACTTTTTCATTACTGAACCTGAGGTGCCCATTTAACTTGCACAAGTAGACTATCTGTAGACTCAAGAATGATGTTGTAGCTTTCCTCCTGCCACATTGACTTTTAAATTTGTCTGATCCTTCTTTGGATTTAAGCCAAGTGCTTCAGCACATCCTCCATGGACAGTCACACAAATTTCAAATTCAACAGGCACAAATTGACCTTCAAACATTTGTCAACAATTCTCTTCATCTACATTTTCCTCAAGAGAAACATGACCTGATAATGAATATTCATTAATTTTTGCACCTGTCTTAAGAAGTGCAGAGGCTCATGAGTACTGAAGGTTTTCAAACAAGAGTTGAAAAAATTATTCCTCAGTTGCAAAAAAGTGGAAAGAGGAAAGATATGATGCCATTCCAGGGTCTACAGATAGTAAGTCTACACATAAAATAAATGATAAAGTCAGAATCAATGATAAAAGGTTGTCCAGTCACTTTATGGACACCCTGCACATCACATAATGGTAAGCTCACTTCAAGCATGTATGTGAGGGTGCCACGTAACTTCTGTGGCACGGTGATGCAGTCAACTCTGAATGAGTACTTATATTCCACAGATGAGGCAGGAGGCAGCTGGAAGGGTACACTGATTCCATCTGCTTCACTTGGCTGCAAAAAATATAAAAGATAAACTAAACACCTACAAAATATATCGAGACGATGATAGGATACGTTAAGGTGAAGACGCACCCCGCGAATCATCTTTGTGTTGATTGTGTCCAATACATTCCATTCGAGCTGTCTGGCAAGGTGAGAATCTAGATTGGAGAACTCCACCACCACGACAATCTGATGTTCATCTCCCGGCATCACTCGAGTATCATATGTCTGCACAAATGACAGGAATGAAAGCATTGAAAACATGCCACATAGCATAACAGCCTGAAAGTCATAATGGATGTCTGACACCAATCATAGCTCAAAATATTGTAAATTCCCAGTCTGTGTTAAGCAGTCAGATTGAGCTAGCTCCCCTTGAGATGGGAAAGGTATTGGGAAGGCAGTATTATTTACCTAATCTTAATAAGAAGTCGGCTTGGCATGAACATACCAGAAACTAGCTCCCTTTCTGTTAGAAAGGGGGGGCCATAAGAAATTCAGCTTCAAATTCATCACACATAAAATAATGTAAGAAATCTGGCATCTTGCCTCAACTTCACAGCACAGCCTGAGTTACCAAAATGGTGAAAAGGAAGAGGAATATCATTCCTTTCCTATCCTTGTCAAATGTTTCTGAAACCAACCATGTTACACAAAGCCAATCCAGTCATGGGCCTTCTTTGAATGGTGGTTTTATATCATCTCCTCGAAATTGCAATCAATTGCCTCATTTGCAATTTTTTGGCTCAAGCACAAATCCCAAGGGGAAAAATGGTTTCACTAAAATGTTTGACGATAGTGAGGGGAACCAGGACAACCTCATCCAGCATCCATCCGGTCTTTGCCCAAACAAAATTGCCAATACGTGAATGAGAATTGAAATTCATAAGAAATTTTAACATTTTTATACAAATTCCAAATGATATGAACTTCTATTCCTTTCAAAAGGAAATCATAAAAAAAAAACAGATTCAATGCAAGGCAATTGATGAAGCAAAGACAACTGACCAGCCGAAGATGGGAGTCTTCAGCAAGGAGAAGACGAGATGGAACAAAATGGAGTTCCTCAGGCTTCCTGGACATCTCTTCTCTTGATACTCCATTGTCTTCCACCTCATTCTGAATGTCATCCACCTTCTTTTTCCTTTTTCCTTCCTTCTTCCCCTTCTTTTTCTTCTTAACCTTCTCCTTCTTCTCTTTGACCTCTTCTTTCCCTTCCTCCTTTGAGGCTGGGACCCTTGGAGCATGATTCCCAACCACACCCACTAGATCCTCCTCCTGGTTGAGAGAAACCAGAGAATGGCACATGATTAGGCAAAGTCTCATTTTCCAAAGATGAATTCTCTCCTCCATTGACTCTGGAGGCCTGTGGAGTTACCTTAAAATGGTCAAAATAAACAAACAGTTGATCCACAACCCTTCCAGACAGGGATCTGTATAATGCAGTTAAACAGAGATAATGCATGAAAATACATAAAAAAATAGAAAGCAATAAGTATAAAATTTTTTTTGTTCAAATAACTACTCCAGATTCTATTTTATATGCTCACTACACTCAATACATAACACAATACACTTCCTCATGGAAATCACTGACAAGAGTCCCAACCAAACAAGGGAGGGAATCACCACATTGTGTTTGTTATGGTTGCACCTGACCACATGTTATAGTCCCAAGAGTTTTATTTACGAGACGACAGAATAAAAACTGAGCAACCTAGTCCCAACTTTAATATTAGAAGAATTGCCAAACCAAACAAAACTGTCCTGTTCCCTAAAGTCAGCATTAAAGAGAGTTTCATAAGAACTGCACAGGAAAATGAACCCCAAATGCCTTCATCCTTTTGGCATGCTTTCATGACAAGTGAGTTCATGAGGGGGACCTACAATAAGATTCTCAGTTTGAAGTCCATTTGCTTCTACATGATTCTCAATGGGAATGAGCTCCTCTTCCTTGGCTTGCTTCTCCTCTTCTCCATTCTCTTGGGATTTCTTCTTTTTCTTTTTCCCCTTCTTCTTGTCCTTCTCTTCCTTTGTCTTACTTTTCTTCTTGGTTGATTCCTTGGTTACATCACTTCTGATTGCCCCATCTGCAAGTTTTGGCTCTGGAGCAGCCAAACTTGCATAAGGTGCAGGTGGTGCCAGTCGTTCATATGGTTTCAGGGGCCTGCAATTCAAGGATGACAACATTCAACTGCTATATTAACAAAACGAGGAAATCTCCAACCCATCTCAAAATACAAACTCGTCGAGATTGATGTCGAGGGCACGATGCGGATCATCCAGGGGTCTGGTATCTTCCTCATCGTTGTCACTGACACTTGCTCCTTCAGGAAGCTCCACTTGGGTGCTCACCTCTGGTCTCTCTACAGGACTCACCACTTCCTCTTCCTCGCTTGATTCTCCCTTCTTCCCCTTCCCCTTCTTTCCCCCTTTCTTCTTTTTCTTCTTCTTCTTCTTCCGCTCATCATCCGTCGAGTCCAGGTTGAGGTAACGGTCTGACCTAACCATCCCTATGACAGAAAGGTAGCATTTTCCCTGCATCCCTATTCTCCGTTGAGATCAGCTGAGAAGTGTCAGTAGTCTCACCTGGAATGTGTAGTGGGACATTGAGATCCAGTTTGGCGACAGGAGGAACCTCCTCCCCGACTGTGTCGTTCACACCTCGTCTGAATGGAGATGTCTGCTTCAGATAATGTGGGTTGTGGGCCTGCTCATCTTTCCTTACTTGCCGTCTCTGTCCACAACAAAAGCAATGCAGCAATATTTTTTAACTGTCTAAATAACCTTTTCATTGTATGGGAAAGGGATGGTTTTTACCATTGTCTAGATTTACATTGCTTCTGGGAACATGATCAACATTCCAGGAGGTATACATATTCAGAAATCAGAATCAAGAAGGAAATGCTGATCAGGAGTGGTGACAATGGCAAATAAAGTCATTTTATGTGTCTCACAAGTTATGTCTTCTGCACTCCAAAAAGCATACTGTGGAAAAATTCTGATTAACTGCAGTCTCATAATTAGAACAGCTAACTCAATTTGTGTTCATCTACCCTTTTGAGATTGGTGCCCAATGTGCCTTAGGTTACACAGGGAATAAACACTGATTGATTTGAAACCATTTAGAATTGGAAGAATTGCATTCCTCAAACCCTCATACAGAGAGAGGGGGATAGGGTTGGAACACCAGCGAAGCATCCCTTCGAGCAATCATGTTTTTGCTACATCAAAGTTGGGTGCACAAGCGTAGTTCAAATAAAAAGGTAAAAAATGTAATAGCATGGGTTTCAAACATTGGAATAATGGCAAAGTTTCCACAATGTCTCTTGCTTCTTTCATTCCCTTGTTAGTTACAGCCCAGTATTCATATAGTGAGTTCTGTTCATGCTCATCTGTACAATCACCAAATCTATGTTCACTGCATGAGGCCTTACTTGGTGCACTCTTCCAATGCAGCTGATACATTGTTACATATTTTCCCAGAATTCTGTATACATCTTAAATACAGTGCTGCCATTAGAACAAAAAAAATTCAAACTGAAAAACCCATGCCAGAAATGCATGACTTCTTCACACTCCCTCAAAATTACCATCATTTTATCTAACACTTTCCTCTCAACTACAATATCCAAAGAATAAACCAAGCAGCTAAGCCAAATGAATTCACTCACCCTCTCAAGTTCTTCCTCACTAGGTTCTTCTCTTGGGGGCTGTTGTCGTTCCCCTGTCACATGGGCATCTTGTCGAAAGATCTCCACGTCTTCTTCCTTCTCATCTTCCTCTGACTCTACAGGTGGAGGTTCGTTGATCCAAGCATCCAGATCCAATCTAAGGCAAGGATACACATCACCATCTCTGTCTTTGGGGTGGAATGGTGGACTGCCTTTGACTCATGGACGCACCCTTCGGGGACGGGGACCTTGCGTTGGGCCTTGGGTGCTACTGGGTTGAGGTCTCCAGCAAAGAGGAAGGCAAGGTCCTTTGCAACTTTCTCACCTCGTCCCTGCAGCTTCTGGATCTGCTTCATCAGCGTAAGAATGGTGCAAGCCCTCTCCTGTACCTCTAGGTCAGAACTGCTCACCAGATCTGGTAACCGCTCCAACACCAGTTTCCCCACCTGGAATGGTACCGATACCCTTCCAACTGATGAGAAGTCCATGGGAAATTTTGTGAATGCAATAAGAAGTAAAACTACACTGAATGTTGTTGGTGAAAAGTGAAGAGTGGCAAAATAAGTACCATCAGACCATCAAAACCAACTGATATCATTTGAACAGGAAAACTTACTTCATGAATGGTTTCATCATCGTGTTCCTCCTCAGCTCTAGAGATAATCCTTGAATAGACCTTGAGGATGTTCTGGATGAAAGTTGCTTGAATGTGGCTTGGCAGAGATCCCATGCGCATGCGAACCATTGCTTCCAGTGTTCCGCGTGGATCTGGCAAGAACCTGAACAGTGAAAGAAGATGATCTGTGAAAATTCTTCTGTCTTATGAGCAGTATTGGTGTATGACATGACTTTTGGAGCCAGAAGCCCGATGCCAAACTCACTCAGCAAACTCGCCACAGATCCAGGCAGCTGCATACAGGACCTCTGTGATAGTGGTCCGCTGGGCAGAACGAACAAGAAGATGAGAATTTTCAACAAGGAGAGCCATCTGGGCAACAGTAAACGATCGGACAGCTGGAACACGAATGGCTACATCCAGCATCTGGTTGGCTACTAGTTTCCCATGCTGTGTTCCCTCCACACGTGTCAGCTCCACCAGCACACTCACATACCTATGAGATGATTAGGGTTTTAACCAAGCTTAGAAGATTTTACTTTGTCATAATGGAGTTTCTTACCATTCAAAGTTGGAAATGTGTGTGTAATTGCTCTGAGAGCAGATGTCAATAATCTTGGAAAGAAGCTCATCTCGATAGTGTGCACCCTCTGCCTTATCCATATGATGGAGAAGTTTGCGGATTATCTCCATCACATTCTTCTTGGTCACCTGAGAAGTGGCAAGAGATCAGATGCATAAGTTTACAGTCTAAACCAAACCACACCTGAATGCAACACATTCCACCAGATCTACCATTCCATAGAGGAGATCCAGGGCTCGGAGACGGATGGACTCGTCCTTGTCGTCCAAACACTGCATGATCAAGTCCTTGTGTGCTTGCACAGACTTGGGATGTGTCTTCAAGATCTTACTCATGGCAAGTAGGCCCAGGTATTTCACTGTATATAATACAGAATAAATGCAGGGGGAATGCCTCCCATCAAAGTCAGGATGAGCAAAGGCTATAACTCACGATTCTGGTCGGAATCCTCAATGAGGACTCTGAGCTTCTGAACACAGAGCTGCTAGAACAAAGGTGGGTGATAGCATGGTTGCATCAGACAAATATAAAGATAATTAATAATATGAAAAAGAGAGGTCACTTACCATTATGGAGGTGTCGCGTTCAGGCATCCCTTCGGAGATAGAAATGAGAACTGTACAGATGCAAAACAAAAAGAGGGGAAAAGAAACAGGAGGGAATGCCACCATTATCATCATGAAGCAAGCAGGCAGGCCACTGCAAAAGCAACTACAGGGAGGTAACTGCACTTCAGCATTCATCATGAGGAACTAAAAGAATATGTCCTCTTACAAGCAAAAAAACTCAACAGGAATGTGAATTGACTTCAACTTTGTCAAATGCTGAAAGTTGCACCTTCCCACATATGCTCAAATAATTTAATGTGTATCTGACCTCAACTATTAGTGGAAGCTGAGGCAATCCCAGTTGATCAAACAGGAACAAGAAAAGTGAGGACCCAGGGAAAATAGCATTGGTACCTCATACAACTGATGATTTTATTTTGAAGCTACACCATGGATCAGAAACAAATTCCCAGCAGTTGCTTTACTCTTTCAGAGCAACACTATCACACCCAGAATGAACAGCACCATAACAGAATTATGCCAAAGTTGAACTTTCTTCCAATTTGGCTAATTAGAGCCACTGAAGTCAACTTTCGCATCACATCTGGAATCCCATAACATCCCTCAGCTACTCCCAACAAGCTCAAATATGACATGCTACAGAGTTGTTCAAGTGTGTGCGTGTGTGTGCATCTACGCATATGCAAGGAACAATATTGTTATTGTGCTGGAGGTCAGTTACAGCAAAAGTCTTAGTACTAAAAAATAGATTCTTCTGTGGCCATGCAGCCATGACCTTGTCATACAAGATCAGAGCTATCAGCTCTTAGTAGAAGAATTCAATCAAGTCAGGTTGTCCCTCAGGTTTAATTAATCAACTGAATGCTTTCAATATGATAAAATACAGGATGAGTGCCAAAAAGGAGAGGATTCAACCTCCTAACATTGTAGAAATTAAAAAAGATGGTAAAAAATCATTTCTGGCAGGAAATTATCAACGATGGATCAATTCAACAAAATTTACTTATTTGTAAAAATTCATGAATGAGTAACAGTTCTATAAGTGTCAAAAACAGAAGAGGCATACATAGAGTGCAATTGACAAACTTTTGCAAAAACCAGACATGAAATGCATGCCAATAGACAACAACTGGAAGGCATCCTGGAAGGCAAAGGTTTCCATTGTGGATACATCAAGTGCATGAGTATACTAGAAGACACAATTAAGCTGAATAGTTAGAGACAATAATCTGCATTTGGGAAACCTTCCAGGCAAGGAACACAACACTTCAATAGGCTTTGCTTTCAATAAAACTTGGATTTGGCTTTCTCTTCCAATCATACTTGGCTAAAAGTGATGAAAATTTTATCAGGTTAACGGGATTTGAATTATTTACACATGAACCATTTCCCAAATCCCAAAGCCTTACCGCATGTCTACTCAACGAACAGCCCAAGTTAAATCTGAGCAAGAGAACATCTTGCAAAAGTTGACTTCTGCGAAATAAGATGTCGTAGTACAAATTTGGCATGTTCACAATGCCAACATTAAACTTTACCAAAGCACTGACTTCAAGGATGCTGCAGGCATTATCTCCATTCATAAAATTCCACCATCAATCCCATAAAATGACTGATTAAGGACATCACCAGAAAAGAGACAAGTAAATGGAGACTCACCAGCTATCACAGTGTTGATGCATTCGTAAAGGAGGGACATAGCAGATGTGCTGCAAATAAAATAAAAGTTGCATGTTTTAAGCCTGTTCTGATCATTCTATATTTTATACCCCAGCTATACATCATGCAAATAATTAACTAAACTCGCACCAAATCCAGAACCTGTTCAGCACAGATGAAAGCATTATAAACAATATCCTCATAATGCCTGGGGGTCACATTTGTGACTACTCAATCATTATTTTTTCTTCAGTCACATCAATGACTATTTGCTGATTTCAAATTACCCATATTTTCCATTTAATATTTTGCAATTTTAAATCCACTTTGTGAAAAGGCAAAATAATTACCTGAATTAAAAACTAAAATAATTACCCGTGGTTATTATCACCAAGATAACCTCAAGAAAAATAGTCTGACTACCATTACTGGGAGGGCAGATGACCCAAGAGTCATCTGCTTACAGCTTATGAGGTCGAAGGTTAAGCGGTTATCTATGGTTTTCAATGCAAACATAAGCCAAGGGATCCAACACACATGGGATGAGCCTCAACATGGTTATCAGAAATAACCATTTTTCCATTAGTGCCATTCAAATATGTTACTTTGTGTACATCAAGCATATGATGTCATATGCTTGATACCATCTGTCCCCTATTGTAATGAGAGTACATATAGCTTGTATAAAAGCTTGAGGAGTACAAAATAATGCAGATTTCTTTACTTTCCAGCAACTAGAGGCGAACAGATATGAAATTTTCAAATGACTCTGGTCATACGATCACTTTCTATTACAGATATTTTCTCGTAAAATCATCCCTGGTTAAAAATTGAATAAATGACCAATTTTCCCCATGCACCCTCATCACTGCATTACATCTGCTTTTAGTTGAACCCAAGCAACTGATTTCAAAAACTGCTAATATTGCTTAATAACCAAGAACAAATGTAAACCCCCCTTACCAATAGTCTTAGGAAAGTATTAATTATAGTAACAGAATTACATTCTGTAATCATGCATTACAATAATGGGATTGCTTTTGTCTGAGGTCATTTATATCAAACAATTTTCTTTGTGAAAGAGGAAATAATTTTGAATAAGTCCATAATAAGCCCATAATTTTGAATAAGTCAACAACTAGCAACAATGGAAAGTTTCCTTGTCACTCTATACCTACATGACTGTTTTGCATCCTATGAACCTTGTCAAACCAATTGGGCTCAACAAGCTGACTAGTTTTTTGGGCTTAATTGCTCCTTGATTATTGAAAAGTAATCAAGGAACAATCTGATCATCTTAAAGGGATCAACCTAAAGTTTAAAATAGAGACTACTTTTCCTCCAAACTGAGTGATCAGATACTGCTTATTTAATAGAAGGAACTTTCCCAACATTGTGTCTAACAACAACTAAGCACAAGAGACAAAAATGAGACAACCAGAGCCTTCTCTGGTAATACTTAGCCAAAACTAAAAATTCTGCCAAGCTTCTTTTAATAGTCCATGCATTGTGAAAGCAGCAACACCTCAAAAATACCATGCAAGTACATTCATACCCACATGTTCACCAGTATGCCATACCTGTGGATCAAATTGGTCAAAGGCTCCATTAGCTTTTTTCCTAATCTCTTCTCCAGAGGAGTCAATGCACCAAACTGAAAAGAAAACCAACAAAACATCTAGTGCA